TGTGTTGGTGTTCACTAAAATTCTTAATGCGCATTTGAAAAACCTCTGCGAAAATACCATGTGATATAAATAACTAAAATAAAAAAAATAAATAAATAAAAAATATATATATATATGTACTGTATGTGTATGTATATATATATGTACTGTATATGTATATATATATATATATATTGTTTAGAGATTCCAAGATACATTTTACATGTATGAGAGAAATAGCCTTGGGAAGCAAGTGGTATCATCAGAGGTCCTTGCAATGCCTAATTAAAGAAGCCTTTAGCACTCTAGTTATAATAATCACTCTAGTGCTTAAATGCTGTCCATCATTCCTTACTCTGTAGCAGGTACTTTTTTTAAGAAGTGGTGCTTTTTGAGTGAGCTGACATTTTTGCCTGCGCTGCTTGATTTATACATAAAGTAGATGCATGACAGTGTAATTACTTTGGTAAGTAATTCACATTTGCACAATGTATTGTATAGAGATCAGCCTGAGTTATAATAATTCTGATTATAACAAAATTCTCTGGGTATGTAAAGCTGCTCTAAGACCAAGTAAAGTTACAGTATAATCAAATTTTGGCTTCTCGTCAATGTACTGTTTTCATACTGCCATAAAGCTTGTAATAGTTGACAGTATTACATATGATCGGCTCCCTATGTTTTATTTCTATTTTCGCTGTTCAACCTCCGTAGTTAAAATCTAACAGTGTCTATCTAGATATTAGGACACTAACAGTGTTTGCATAGAAAGGCCTAGATCATTTTTTCCTGGGGTGGGTTCAGCTCCCAGATGTCAGATGTGCTGCATTTTTACTGCCCCCCCCAGCCCAACTGGTCTCCTTTAAGCTGCAAAGGTAGCAGAGGGGCAAAGATTATACCTGCAGTACCGCCTGCCATAAATTACCAATTCTTAATGAGATTGCAGTGCAAGGGCACAGGTTTTTAAGTGTGAGGGGGTCAACATCAGTGCATTGCAATATGGTGCTCTTTGCACTTGCTCAGGTTGCACACTAAAACTGGAGGCTGCCACTGCCTATATGATGATAGCCAGACATGTGGCCTGTGACATGTGAATGGCAGAAAGAGGAAAGATTTATCAATACCAGAAGAAGACAGAGCGGTAGACAGTTTTTGCAGTAAAATGATGTCCGGGCACAGCATCAGGTGGTGTCCCGGCCTGGTTTGCAGAGAAAGGCACCAAGTAAAATAGAGCACAGAGGTGAGTAGGACTTAAGCTGCACAGCAGTTGGGTCAAATTATATCACACTGATTACAGCACTGCAGATCAATAGGCTGGCAACTGGCAATGCATTCACTATTGTGTTGCTGGACTATGGGCTGGGAAACTCTGGGTTGGGTTTGGTCCCCACTATCCCACCTTATCTATTATGCTGCCCACATAGCGTATGCTGTTATAACATTACATGATGGTTATTTATAGCATACTGTACCTTCCAACTGTCCTGAGATTTCAACAAGATCTTGGTTTCCAGAAGATCCAGACTGTGCCCCATAGCCAAGTACGGGAACACTCTTTCTGGCAACTTTATACGTAAGCACATACTGCCGGGCAAAATGATCTCCTACCTGATAACATATCCATAGTTCCAACAGTGACGTTACTAAGCTAGCAAGATACAGCCAGGAGATCAACCATGGTATTAGGGTGAGGGGAAGGAGGAATACATCAGTAACCGCCTATGTCATTTTGGGGAGGAGGGGGCAACACATAAAAGACCACCAATGCCATGAAATGCGGAAAACATCACTTACCACCCATGCCATTGTGGGGGGCTCACTGTCCACCAATGTCATTTTGGGGGATATCACTGACCTGTTATGGATGGTGGGGACCTTCAAGGCCAGAGTGGTCCATTGGGGTGCCTTTGATGTATAATATTGTATGTTGTGTTAAAGCTGCCAATGCACTACAATTTGGAATTAAGAAAGTGTATTGGTGTACCATTCACAATGAATGGCACCATAATGCACCAACTCATGCATTACCGCAGCGCCCTAGTGTGGATGAGCCCTCACTAACCACCACTGTCTGGGAAGATGGAAATGGGGTTAGTCCACTGATCACCAGTGCCTTTGAATGGGGAAAATTCTTCCTTCCACTAATGTAACTACTGGGAGGGGGAATTTTTCCTTGCACTGATGATGACGATGCCCATTGACTGAAGTCATTTTTTTCTTCCACTGACTGCCAAGGCCTTTGTGTTTTTAACTCCTATTGACTGTTAATGCCAGGACATTTTTTGCTTCCTACTTACCAGCAAGCTAGACTATGTTACATACTGTATCTCCTGACTTTTGCACTCTGTATCTTGCGCTGTGAATTTTATTCCTGGTGCATTTATATTTTAAACTGTTGTACATTACATACTCCTGACTGCTGTACTATATATGCTCTGATTTGTATTTTTTAGTGCTGACCATTGCCCTCTGTTAGCTGTGTTGGACATTACATACTCCTGACTGTGGCGTTTATTGTATTAACAGTTACAGGTTGTTATGTAGTCCCAAACGATTTTACTATTTTAGGTAGACCTTGCTCAAGAACAATGGTGAGGAACATGCAGCAGGCACCTGATTAAAAAAATAGAGTGTGCCTCACAACTTTAGAACTTGTGACAGAGGAACACTTTAAGTAGACAGGGAGGTGACACCCATAGTGCACTGAGTGAAATGTGGGAATGCTTAAATTATGCTGAATATTGGACATGAGTTCATAGATTTTGAGACAATTTGCAATATACACCATATATGTATGCCGCATTCCTTGTGCTCACAATATACTTCTTAATTACAGTGGCACGAATAAGAGTCCTACAGACATGCTTTACTGCATATACAGACTGATTTTACTGTGGTGGGTTTAGTAACACTTTAATAAAATGATGTTGCTTCTCTTGCTTAAAGTGATTCTAAACACACTGTTTAATTTACATTATCCCTTTTGTTTAGGTATATGTATGATGACATTTTATTTATTTTAATTTTAAAAAAAAAAAAAGAATCTAAGTATCCTTTTATAACCTCCAGAAGCTGTACCCCCCTTCCTGACCAGGCCATTTTTTGTGATATGTCACTGTGTTATTTTAACTGAGAATTGCGTGGTTAAGTAATGCTGTACATAAATGAAATTTATGGAATTTGTCCCCACATTTGTTACTTTTGGTGGTATTTGATCACCTTTGTTTTGTTTTTGTTTTTTTCACTTTTGCACTATAAATAACAAAAGACCAAAATTTTGAAAAAATAAAACAGTATTTTCTACTTTCTGCTATACAACATATCCAATAATAAAAAAAAAAAATCAAATTTCTTCATAAATTTAGACTAATATGTATTCTGCTATATATTTTTGGAGACAAATTCCCAATACCCGTGTATTGATTGGTTTGCACAAAAGTTATTGCGTCTACAAACTATGGTATATATACTGGAATTTTAATTTTATTTTATTTTTATACTAGTGATGGCGGTTATCTGGGACTTATAGTGGGACTGTGATATTGCAGCGGACCATCAGACGCTAACTGATACTTTGTGGGAACCAGTGACACTAATGCAGTGATCAGTGCTAAAAATATGCAATGACGCTGTATTAATGACACTTGCTGGGAACGGGGTAAACATCTATGGTGATCAAGGGGTTAACTGTGTGCCTAGCTAAGTGCAATGGCTACTGTGTGTGCTGTATTTACTAGGTAATGGGCTGGATTCTATTCCAGGGGCAGATAATCCAGCACATTGCCACTGACAGGACACATCTCTGCTGCCCGGGGGCCCCGTGAGTTGTCAGTCTGCCCCTGCTTATGCTGTGACAAATCATGCATGCGCACACCCATGACCAGGAAGTGCAGAATCACGTTTATATACGTGATTCTGCATAGTGCGGTTGCCCTTTAGAAGTATATCTGCTATGAGGCGGTCAGCAAATTGGTAATATACAGATAATATACAGGTGTTATGTGACCTATCTGTAGGGAAACATCATTGGGAGGAGCTTTTAGTCCTCTGCTGCCGGCCACATGTTACAAAAAAACAGCCTTCAGAGAACAGAAAAATATATAATTACGGTCAAATAAATGTTTTAAAAAGTGTCATAAATATGTATTTGAACTCAAATCTATTATTTTTGTGCAAAAATATTGTGAGCTATCTAGGGCAAGCTTCGCGCCCTATTTGCGCCTGTTTGCGCCCCTCCAGCCTGTGTCTATTGTTTGTATGTGCTTAAACTTACAAGGAGTAGATGTCTGTATCAATCCACATGTAATATACACATGGTGTTTAGTTGTTTAGTGGGCATGGAGGATGAGGGAGGGAATGGGCTGTCTTATTTGGAGTGTATATGGCCACATGTGTGACTCTATAGTAATGCACAGATAAGAAGAAAGGAGGAGATGGAGACCTGAAACTGGAACATGCTCAGTAGATGTGGCAGTGGCTGGTCTACACAATATCAGGTTAAAGCAGGGATACAGACAAGGAGGGAGGGACACTGCACAGTAGGTTCTTACAGGATATAGAAAATGAATCCCATAGTGTCTGACTGAGTAGACGCAGAATGTGACACAGCATGTACTGACAGTCTTTAATGGTGTGGGTTTAAATCATTTAAAACATTGATGAAAAGTCTAACATTTGTGTTCTTGTGGTTGTAAACAATGTTTGGATCTGGAATTATTATACTGTTTGGTCCCTAGCTGCAGTTGCACTACAGTGATACAGACTGAAACCTAAATAAAGGAAAACAGAATTAATCCATCAAAGTACTAGTATATACAGTGCATTTTACAATCTAAATTATTCCTGTGCATGTGTGAGAATTCTCTAGTAATCTGGTTCTATGACATACACTATATTGCCAAAAGTATTTGGACATCCCTCCAAATCATTGGATTCAGGTGTTCCAATCACCTTCATGGCCACAGGTGTATAACATAAAGCACCTAGGCATGCAGACTGCTTCTACAAACATTCGTGACCAAATGGGTCACTCTCAGGAGCTCAGTGAATTCAAGCATGGTACCACGATAGTTTGCCACCTGTGCATTAAGTCCATCCATGAAATTTCCTTGCTACTAAATATTCCACGGTCAACTGTTAGTGGTATTATAACAAAGTGGGAACTGGGAACAACAACAACTCAGCCATGAAGTGGTAGGCCACGTAAAATAAGAGAGCAGGGTCAGAGCATGTTGAATCACAGTGTGCAGTCAATAGCTTAAGACTTCCAAACTTCATGTGGCCTTCAGATTAGCATAACAACAGTAAGTAGGGATCTTCATGGAATGGGTTTTCATGGTCAAGCAGCTAAATCAAAACCTTACATCACCAAGTGCAATGCAAAGTGTCAGATGCAGCAGTGTAAAGCATGCCGCCAATGTACTCTAGAGCAGTGGAGATGTGTTCTCTGGAGTGACAAATAACGCTTCTGCCTGGCAATTTGATGGACATGCCTGGGTTTGGTGGTTGCCAGGAGAACAGTGCTTGCCTGACTGCATTGTGCCAAGTGGAAAATTTGGCGGAGGGGGGATTATGGTGGGGGGCTGCTTTTCAGGGGTTGGGCTTGGCTCCATAGTTCCAGTGAAGGGAACACTTAAGGCGTCAGCATGCCAAGACATTTTGGACAATTTCATGCTGCCAACTTTGTGGGAACAGTTTAGGGATGGCCCCTTCCTATTCCAACATGACAGTGCACCATTGCACAAAGCAAGGTCCATAAAGACATGGACGAACGAGTTTAGGGTGGAGGAACTTGACTGGCCTGCACAGAGTCCTGACCTCAACCCGACAGAACACCTTTGGGATGAATTAGAGTGGAGACTGCGAGCCAGGCCTTCTCGTCCAACACCAGTGCCTGACCTCACAAATACGTTTCTGGACACACTCCTAAACCTTGTGGACAGCCTTCCCAGAAGAGTTGAAGCTGTTATAGCTGCAAAGGGTGGGCCAACTCAATATTGAACCCTACGGACTAAGACTGGGAGGCCATTAAAGTTCATGTGCGTGTAAAGGCAGGCATATCAATGTCTCAATATTTTTGGCAATATAGTGTATATGACAAATTTGCTCAGCCTGACTTTCCAATTATTTATTTATTCTACATACATTATTCATTATGGAGATGTCCTCAGACAATTATGACACCCTATTTTGATTTTAGAATGGTTGTCGTACTTATACGAAATGAAATGTTTTGGTGGAAAAACCTTTTCAATGGAATTCTAGCAACATACCCATTTTTCCTTTTCTCACCCACGTATGACTTAGCTGCCATCACTAAACTTTTAATAGACTTAAGTCTGTGAGAAAAGTTAAGGGCGAAGTTCACTTTGCTGGCAGTTAACCATAATAGAATTTGACAGAATACAGTTTTCCTTGCAGCAGTTTTCTCATATATTAACTAGGACATTGACAGAAGTCTTGTCTTATTATGTGTCATCTCTTGGCATGAGCAGAGGTAGGACTGTTGTCATGTTGTTAGCTGGCAGTAGCCACAGGTTCATACCTATGGCCTTAAAAAGGAAGCGCAGTGAGTAACTATAAAATACAAAGTCTGGTGGCAACCTGCAGCAAACAACCAGATTTTGCCTTCGATTGGATCAAAATATTCTCTGCCGCAAACTAAATTTGTGAATCTTGATTTTGTAAAGTTGCTGGATTGTGTCTTTTCTAGGGACCTTGTTCTTTTCAAAGATACATGATACTGCCAATTTGTTTGAGATAATTTTTTTTTCTCATTTGAACTTGAAATCACAAATTCATCTTTTTCATGTTACTGATATTTGTAATATTAATGTACAAAGAAAAGAATCAGATTTAGCAGGAAGTATTCTTGTCTTCGAGCTTTTTTACGCATTTCCTGTTTCGGGGAGAAAAAAACAAATATTAAAGGTGGTATTCTTCTGAAAAAATCTGTATACTCGTATACCTCGTAATAAACCAAGGCTGAAAGACAATTAAATTGGGTAAATTTGTTTTTAATTTTGATATGTGTACATTAGGCTGCCTCAACATATTTGCAGTTATTTCTGTTTCTGTAGTATGGGATTATCACACATACCTTTCACATGCAAGCACAGCACTTCCGAAGACCTGTCAATGTGGATTTTGGCCATAAAAGATTTTCACCTACTGCCAAGAAAATTTGTATTTACTTTGGGGCACCGCTCCAAGCTTGAAGGTTCACCCCGCCTGTATGTGGAAAGAGGGAGCAGCATCTAAGGATGATTCCAGTGACTTCAATATAGTTAGGGATGGACACTGCTCAAACCAGCCCAGGGATTCCATTGTGTGGGATGTGTAGGTTGGCCTCAGCCACTGCTTCAGCCACGCCCTCTGATGTGTTTTGCCATCCCCACTGGGGCTTGGTCACAGAGGCCCCTCATAGGTTGTGGCTGGAGTGGTGACTGAGACCATCCTACACATCCCACACACCAGACGCTCTACTTTGGGGGATAATTACTAAAACTGGCGATTGGAAATTTTGAGGCCTGCATAACAGACATATAACAGACATAGAAATAAGTGGAAAATCTTCTACAAAGCTGTGCAGGCTTTCAATGGAAAGTCTTTGTTGTTTCCAGAGACTAATGGGACTCAAACATGGGTCGCTTGTGTGTTCATTGAACACATGAATGGTATGGGCGTTCGGCTGGCTATTCGCCCCACAATGCACTATGCCCTGACAGTGCATTGTGATTGGCCAAAGCATTGCACCTGACCACAGATCCCGCCCCCATGTGATGTCATCACCATATTTATTTCATTGCGGTGCAGCTGTCAGGCGGTGGGACCAATAGTTGTAGGTGGAGCAGATTTTTGTTTTCTTTTTTCAGGTCGGCAGTGGTGGTGAGCATCATGATTGATGTCGAATCTACTTTGGGGGACATTTTTTTAATTTTTATTTTTAATAAAAGACTTGTAAAAGACTGCCTCCTGTCTTTTTTTTATACTACACTTTTTTTTGTGAATGGGTAGCGGTACCATGTGCCCCATACTCATTCACATAGGGGGAGGGGTGAGATCTGGTGGATTCCGATAAGCCCCCTGCCCATAGACCCCCACAATGATCAGCCAGGGTTGTGGGGAAGAGGCCCTTGTCCCCATCAACATGGGGACAAGTTACCTTGCCCCAAAGCACCCCCTCATGTTGAGGGCATGTAGCCTGGTATGGTTCAGGAGGGGGGGCATTCACTCATCCCCCCCTTTTCCTGACCTACTGGGCTGCTTGCTTGGATAAGGGTCTGGTATGGATTTTGGGGGGAACCCCACGCCACTTTTACAAAATTTTGGCACGGGGGGTTCCCCTCAAATTCCATACCAGACCCGAAGGCTGTTTTTTTTTTAAAAAAAAAATTAATTGTTAGACAATGCAGGCAATTCTTTTCACATTCAGCTGTCAGCCAAGAATCCCGCTGACAGCTGAAACATGAATTAATGTATCACAACTAAAATACTGCATGACTTAATAATATAACACATGCAGTATTTTAGTAACTGATTACTCAGATGCGGTAAGATACCGCTCAGTAAATTGTTCCTGTTCGAAGTTCAAGGTCGAACTTTCGGTAAGTTAGAATTTTCAACCGTGAACTGAACGGGGGGGGGGGGGGGGGGGTGTTTAGCCCATCACTTCCAGTGACCACAAAGCAAATACAGTATCTCCATGTGACATGGACATGTAATTCTGGCAATAAACTCATAGAAATCACTCAATTTCCCCATCCATGTTGGCAAACATTGATGGATGAATCTCCACTGCTGGCTACTTTATTCTGTCTGCAGCTGTCAGAATACCAGAAAAGTGATGCAGCTAAATTGCTGCAGTTACAGTTTGGCTTACAATGTTCTACACGACTTCTTTAATTTTCAGGAGGTGCTGGCAGAGCCACCCACGATCAGAATTTTGCATGATTAACAGGAAAATTACCAGTGTATGGCAATCTTGAGTGTAGGGTCTGGTAGGGTTACTGGGTCAGGAAGAGGAGATAGTTACAACTTTTAAAGGATAACTGCAGTAGAAATATAGTTTCAAAGCTTATATCCACTTTTCTGTAATCTACTGTACCAATTTTTTTTATTTCTTTCTTCCAATCCCCTGCCTGCTGTGCAGTTTTCTGTTCTTGTTTTAACATTTAATAAAGCTGCGTGACATTGCGCTTGGTGCACTAAATATATCTAATGTGTAAATTTAAAAAAAAACATAATAACAATAAAGTGCTATCAGAGGTAAATCAATGTTTGCCTGCTACAAAAATAAAATAAAATGTACAGTTTATCACCCAGCACTTAGCGCTATATATATATAACTAGCAGGGGCGGACTGAACATTTAGAAACTCGGGTACTGCCCGAGGGCCCTGGGTCAGTAGGGGGCCCCATGAGATGCCTGGTACCTTTTTTCATAGGCTTTTTTGAGTTTGGGCAAGGACACAGGGGCCCCATGATCCCCTTGTCAGTCCGCCCCTGATAACTAGAGATGTGCACAACTGGAAAATTTGCTTAGTTTTGGTTTATTTGTTAACTAATTCATTTCACTTTGTCATATTCGTTATGTTAGAATGATTCGTTTTCAGACCAATTCATTAATTCAGGAGAGTATATATTCATTGTTCTGATTCAATTAGTATTTTCCAGAAGTTTCATTATTATTCTATTATTTTGAAAGATACGTATTAATTCGTTATGCTATAAAGTTGATTAATTTCCTCATTCCTGACTGAATTTGTTTTTTTGGCTGTGCACATACAAATTAAGCAAATGTTCTCTCTATTACAAACCCAATGCAAAAAGAATCTTATTACAATATTCATGCTACGCTCACTGAAATAAAAATGAATGGATCCAAATCAATTTGAATCATTCGTTATGTTGTTATGTTATTTCAGCTCCTTCAAATATTAACCAAAGGCCCAAACTACTGCACCATGTCATTCAAATGAAACTAATGAATACCAGAGAATTTGTTGTTTTCGTTATAATTTATTTCAGACTAGCTGAAATTGGTTACTATTGTGATTCAGAGTTTCGGATCCATCCAAATTTCTGAATAACCCAAATTTTGTCCGAATTTCGATTTTCAAGGAAACAAACAGCACATGTCTAATGTAAAAATGCCAATTGATAATCATACTGAATATCACTAAAAGTAGTGCAAATAGAATCTAACCATGTGGAAACACAACACTTACAAATATGTGCAAATCCATAGATACAAGATGTTTAGTGAAACAAATAGAAAGCGCACCAACCTTGCGCATTACCTCAGTGAAATGTGATTTTATTGAATTCAAAATATACTCACAAACAGAGAAGTATAACAAGCATATAAAATCCTCAATGGAACTCTAGGAGTGTGAGACCAGCGCGAGTGTTATCATGAGGGAAGACTCTCAAAGTAAGGCTGGCGCATTTCGAAGGGAGTCCCTTCTTCATCAAAGCTAAGTAGACAATGAGTGCCCTCTTCCACTTCCAATGAGGGCACTCATTGTCTAGTTAACTCATTTTCTAGTTAGCTCTGATGAAGAAGGGACTCCCTTTGAAACGTGTCAACATTACTTTAAGAGTCTTCCCTCGTGATAAGACTCGCACCAGTCTCACACTCCTAGAGTTCCGTTGAGGATCTTATACGCTTGTTATTCTTCTCCGTTTGTGAGTATATTTTTAATTCAATAA